AAATCACTCACTACGAAAGCAAAAGACTTGGCAGACGATGCAACATCCCCCCAATGAATAGCAGGGGTGTCACTAGCACGTTAAGAGACCATACAATAAGTATCAGGGACCCGAGACTGTTCAACTGCCTCCCAGCATACATAAGGGGGATTACCAACAGACCCCTGGCAGTCTTCAAGCTGGCACTGGACAAGCACCTAAAGTCGGTTCCTGACCAGCCGGGCTGTGGCTCGTACGTTGGTTTGCATGCAGCCAGCAGCAACAGCCTTGTTGATAAGGCTCTGATCCACCAGGAGGCCTGGTCACAGACCGGGCCGCGGGGGCGTTGACCCCCGGAACTCTCTCCAGGTAAACTCCAGGTCCTCTCTCTCTCTCTCTCTGGTACTGTCCCTTACATGTTGGTACATGAGGTTTTCCAGTACCACCTCCATCATCTTAGGCCTCTACGTTTCTGGGTCTCCATGTGGCTCCCGGTTCTCCCAGTCGATTTCCTTGTGGTTGAAGTCACCCATAATCAGCAGCTTTGCCCTGCTGGCATGAGCCCTTCTGCTCACCTCATCTAGTGTGTCAACCATCGCTCTATTACTCTCATCATACTCTTGCCTTGGCCTCCTACTGTTATGTGGTGGGTTATACTTCAGTGCAATTGCCACCTTGGGACCTCCAGACTGGTGTTCCAATTATATAGTCTCTTGCTTCTCTGTCTCCTCTCTCCATCGGTTTTTGATGAGCAGTGCCACCCCTCCACCATAAATAAGTTGATTAATGGAGTACAAAGTCTATTGACTACACGAGGGTCATTTAGCATGCACAATAACCTTTTCACCTCTACTTTTTCGTAGCATATATATGCTGAGAGAAACATCTTTCGATAAATATAGCCTATGGATATGAGAATCACTGCTCAATAAAGTGTATCCATTTTTCTTATTAAAATGATATACCCAAGGTTTATATAAATAAATACGATGCTGAATAACAGCACTTATTTGGTAGCCACTCTTATTAAATATTTATTATAAGAAAAACGTTTTAAATATTAAGTAGTAAATAGTTCAGTGTTTCTTGGAAAGTATTACCAACTCTGAGTGACTACCAACCATGCTCGTACCTCAATTCAAATTCAAATTCAAATTCAAAGTTTATTCTCTATAATGATGAAGTAATATAAGTAAATCTGTCAGAGCAGTAGTATACATGATTTTCTCAATTCAGAAGTTTTAAAAATGTTTTTTTTTTTTCCTTTTTAATGTTCGTGTAATTTATTTTCATGTATCTGATTAGCTCTGATCATTTTATTCTCATTGTTTATCTTTTATGGTGCCATACTTATGTATTTTATTTACTAAGTTTAGTTTTCATTGATAATAATCGTTATTGTTTACTGTGTCTACTAGCTAGGCTGCTAATAGTTAGATATTGACAAGACCCCAATGGAAATAAGTCACTTTATTTGATTTTTGGGGAGGTTATCCTAGGTAACTTAGACACACGTTACTACGTAAGACAATTTTTAATCATCCAAAAATTGTAAATGTACCTAAACAAACTTATTTGCAGGTCACACAACTTTTGTCAACACCCACATGAATCTGAATTTTCTCAGTAACGCTGTTAATGAGGTCATAGAGACATCTACCTGGATGACTACCAATAAACTCTTAACATTAACAAGACCGTCTTCATGATTTTTAGGAACAGAGCTACAAATGTCCAACCAAGATAAGATAAGATTTGTTTGGATTTTTAACCCAGAGTGTTAGCCACCCAAGAAAGTTAACGCGTCATCGAGGACTGTCTTATTTCCATTGTGGTCCTTCAGTCTTGTCCTCCAGGATGCCACCCACACCAGCCCACTAACACCCAGGAACTTACTGCTTGATGAACAGGGACAGAAAGTGTAAGGAAAAATGACCAATGTTTCTACCCGGCTGGGGATTGAACCACCGATACTCAGGGTGTGAGGGGAGAGCATTGCCTAAACGTTATGATAAACAGTTTACCCAGTGCAAAACAAGGCAGACAAGTCTAATATCAATTCTACTCTGAAACTCTTTCTTGATAGTTGTAAAAGAACTCTCAGGCAAAATACTAGACACAAAAATATCTGATATTCCACGTGATCAACTCAACTTTCGTAAAAACTCAATATGCATAAAAGGACCTAAAATCTGGAACTCTCTGTCTGAAGATTCCAGAATCTCCCTGTCTGTCAACCACTTCAAAGCTACTGTGGACTTTTATATAATTTTCCTAAATTCAGCATGTGTAAATATGAATAATATAATTGTGTATTAAAATGTGACGCTGAATTGACCCTTCAAGAAATTTTGTGTGAAGGAGGGTGTGTAGCAGCCGCGAAGTTATACACGAGGGGAGAAGGACGCCAAAGTGAATTAATGTGCGAGCACTGGTTGTGGTGTAATCGTCTAGTAATCCGGCGCCATCGACGCCATAATTGAATGGATCGGCCTCAAACCCCTATTATGCACTTTTTAACATGCTATGGAGAGGGAGCATGGACACAGGGGTCGTTCCACAACTGCTAAAAGCAACAGACATAGCCCCACTCCACAAAGGGGGCAGTAAAGCAATAGCAAAGGACTACAAACCGATAGCACTAATGTCTCATAAAAATCTTTGAAAGGGTTCTAAGAAGCAAGATCGCCACCCATCTAAATTCCCATCAGTTACACAACCCAGGGCAACATGGGTTTAGAGCAGGTTGCTCCTGTCTGTCTCACCTACTGGACCACTCTGACAAGGTCATGGATGCTCTAGAAGACAAACAAAATGCAGATGTAGTATACACAGACTTTGCAAAAACCTTTGACAAGTGTGACCATGGTGTAATAGCACACAAAATGCGTGATAAAGAAATAAAAGGAAAAGTCGGTAGCTGGATCTATAATTTCCTAACAAATAGAACACAAAGAGTAGTAGTCAACACAGTAAAGTCTGAGGTGGCTACAGTGAAAAACTCTGTTCCACAAGGCACAGTACTAGCCCCCATCTTGTTCCTCATCCTCATATCGGACATAGACAGGGATATAAGCCACAACGCTGTGTCTTCCTTTGCAGATGACATCCGAAATTGCATGACAGTATCCTCTATTGAAAACATTGCAAGACCCCAGGCAGACATCAACCAAATCTTTAAATGGGCTGCAGAAAACAGTGTGAAGTTCAGTGATGAGAAATTTCAATTACTCTGATATGGAAAACGTGAGGAAATTAAAACTATATCGGAGTATAAAACAAATTCCAACCACACAAAAGAGCAAAAAACTAATGTCAAAGACCTGGGAGTGATCATATCAGAGGATCTCACCTTCAAGGACCATAACACGGTATCAATTGCATCTGCTAGAAAAATGACAGGATGGATAATGAGAACCTTCAAAACTAGGGATGCCAAGCCCATGATAACACTCTTCAGGTCGCTTGTTCTATCTAGGCTGGAATATTGCTGCACACTAACAGCACCTTTCAAGGCAGGTGAAATTGCTGACCTAGAAAATGTACAGAGAACCTTCACGGCACACAAAACTGAGATAAAACATCTCAATTACTGGAAGCGCTTGAAGTTCCTGAACCTGTACTCCCTGGAATGCAGGCGGGAGAGATACATGATTATATACACCTGGAAAATCCTAGAGGGACTAGTACCAAACTTGCACACGAAAATCACTCTCTATGAAAGCAATAGACTCGGCAGATGGTGCAACATCCCCCCAGTGAAAAGCAGGGGTGCCACTAGCACGATAAGAGACAACACAATAAGCATCAGGGGCCCAAAACTGTTCAACTGCCTCCCAGCATGCATCAAGGGGGATTACCAATAGACCCCTGGCTGTCTTCAAGCAGGCACTGGACAGGTACCTAAAGTCAGTACCTGACCAGCTGGGCTGTAGTTCGTACGTCGGATTGTGTGCGGCCAGCAGTAACAGCCTGGTTGATCAGGCCCTGATCCACCATGAGGCCTGGTCACAGGCTGGGCCGCTGGGGCGTTGACCCCCGGAACTAAAACTCTCTCCAGGCATAGTGTTCAAGACAGTGACCATATGCCTGACCACATAATTTGCATTTAGTTTGATCATCATCTGTGTGTCTCCCAAACTGCCAGAAGTACTTGTAACCAAGCCTAAGCCTGGCCACTACAACATCAGTCAGTCTGTTCACATTGCAAGTTGCTCCATAATCATACTTATCTACGTTCATGTTATCATAGTGGGTTATAGATCTACTCAGGCTTCTAACTGCATTCCTATAACAATCATTTTCATTATTTACTTCTCTCCTAATATTATTCCTAATGCTAGACACAGATATACCAAAGTTATACTCTACATTCTCATAAAATTAATGTTTAATATTATTATTAATTATTAATGTTTAATATTATTATTAATTATTAATTTAATGTCAGATCAAACTTTTTTGTGAGAGCGGTGAAGGAGTGGGCATCGAAGGAGTGACAGTCCTGTGACCTACTGTGACTGTCCCACCTACCTCGTCCAAATTACTTGTAATAATTCATGTAATACCCTGTATACCTCATGCAGGTAATTTCTCACAGCTACTGTTAAAAAACACTTCCTGAATGTAATCCTGACAACAATTTATTATGTTGAAAAGTTCCTGAAACCTGTCTTTCATCCCATAGTGTCCCTGTTCTTGTTCCATCATTCCTTGAACTCGGGTACCTAATTTCAATGTGTACCTGTTCCTAAATAAACATACTAATTAGAATTCTTTACTGAATACCTCAAATATAAGCAAAGTTTTCTTATTATTATGTACTAATAATTATAATTTATATTTTAAGGCCGCCCGAAATGCCTTTCATAATAAGAAGCTTTCTATAAAGTAATTTACGTATGACAATTACCCCAGTTATGGAATGTATACTGTATTTCACTCTATAGAAATAAAATTTGTGTTTAGGAGGCTGTTGAAGGGTTGTTTGATTATTATTATTATAATCAAGGGGGAAGCGCTAAACCCGGAGGATTATACAGCGCCTGGGGGGGGGGGGATGTGGAAGGCATTCAGGCTTAATTCGGGGAACTGGAGCACAGATCCAATTCCCTAAATCAAGAGCCCCTCACCAACATCAAGGAACCTTCCTTGAGGGGAAGGGTTGTTTGAGAGGCTGATGTGGCTACACTGGCAGACATAAGTCAGCTGGTGGTAGTAAACACAGAGTTGCTGCTGCTGCTGCTGTTGCTGCTGCTGCTGCTGCTGCCATGAAGAAGACATGAATTTTCTTTAATAGGGAGAAGCTCCATGAGTCACGTTAGTAGGTGAGTGATTTGGGGCACCAGGGAAGACCAGCTGTTCAAGCTGAGGCTCAAGTGTAAGCTGCATGACAGCTTCAGTGGTGGGAGGTGAAGGAACAATGTTAAGTCAAGCTTAGCCTCTTTTGTGATTTTTACATGGTGTTAACCCAGAGGGTTAGTAACCCAGGATAACCCAGTCCTCTGGCTGTCTTTCCTCGGGATGTGACCCCACAACAGTCTCCTAACACCCAGGTACCTATTTCCTGCTATGTGAATGAGGGCAACAGGTGTAATGAATCATTAGATAAAAAGGTATATGTTGAGAGACGTTTCGCCCACCATAGGTTTAATACAAAGTCGTGAGGATAGAGACTTTTACAGCCCAGATGTAGCGAAATAAGTCTGATGATTCCGCTCGTCCAAGAATAAAAACCTTCTAGTGCCATATCAAGGGTTTATTGTGATTTCTTTAGTCACATTTGACTAAATTATAATTTTCCAACATTATACATCAATAATGTATTATTTTTGAGGGATGCAAAAGAATAAACACCAATATGAAACAAGGAAGAACAGGTGGAAAAATAAACACATAAAGCAATATACGTAATGTGAGCCTTCATTGAAAACGTTGTCAATAAAGGATCACATTATACTAAGTGTTTATTTTTCCATTGTGTTGGTATTTTATATCATTTATTTCCAAGGAAGAACATGTGGGGGAGATCAGAGCTTTGAATCTCTCATTATCCCATTTTGTTACGGGTACCTGATCCTAGCTTACAGGTGCAAAATATGATATCTAAGCATTTCCACAGATGATATTAAGGAATCGATTATTTTCCTAACCTCAATTTTGGCCGTGCTATGGTTTATTCTTTTCTGACACGCAACGCCTCCTATGTGAAATGCAACAAATTAATTTCTTTACAGGAAGAAAATGTGATTTAACCCTAGAGTAATACTGTACCACTTAAAAAATATTTTCAGCACTTTTTAAAAATTACTGTATTTACATAAAATTATAGTACGGGTATTGTACCGTAATGTAGGTACAGTAGCTTTACTATTATTAATATTACTGTAGCTTTTTAGCATTAATATTTTAAATTATTACTATTATTATTATTATTATTATTAATGCATATCTTAGAAGAACATGAGGACAGTAACAAGTTGGTGTGTTGGGTATTTTAAGTGGCAGATGAGTCTCTTGAACTCGTAAGGTGCAAAACATAGCAACGCTGGATCTTTACAATATACAGTATCTTCACTTTCTGGTGAAATAGATGCATTATCTATGTATATTTTCACTAAAGCTATCACATACCTTAAGTAACCAAATTAAGGTTTGGCAAACCATGAAAACATGGGATAATTTGCCCTTACATGTATGTACTAAACTATGTTCATATACATAATACTATATTAGTCAATATACAAATACCGGAAGTCAGAGTTTTAATATTATATGTTATACTATGCTACTAGAAACTCTTCTGACTGGTTATTTGATGCAGTATTGCACTCAGCTCTGATACCAGTGAAATTGCAGTTAAAACATTTTCTTTGCTTTGTAGATCATTCTAAGGGTTGAGGCCAGTGAAGGGCTCTTGTTTCTGGGAATTGGAGCTACCGTCTAATTTCTTCACAAACAATGATGATCTGATACGAAATGTAACCATATCAAAAACAGTATACTCAGATCACAACATAATCGATGTTCAGACATGCATGCGCGGAGCTCCAGACTGACATTTATTTATTTATTTTATTTATTTAGAAATTTTAGCATACATACAGAGGTACAAAAAAAATACAGGTAAGAGCAGCATGCCAAAGCCACTTATATGCATAGCATTATGGGCTGGCTTAAAATTAACTTAAGATTAACTAAGCAATGATGAAATCAGTGATTAGACATTATTGTAAACAGATAACTATAAAGCACAAATGAGTATTACAAAGACAGGTCATATGGTTGCATGCATTGCTGTTCATTCAGTAGAATGGAGTATTCTGTTAGGTAGTGTATTTAAAAAAATAACAAAGTTAGATTGGGTCCTAGGTTTAACATTTATGTGATATAATTGTGAGTAACATTTTGGATATACAATTTATAAGGTTCAGTTATTCAGTATTTATTTGGTTTTGAGTGAGTAAGTGAACTTTGAGAAGAGACTTGAATTTATAAACAGGTAGTGTTTCTTTTATATTTACAGGTAATGAATTCCAGATTTTAGGGCCTTTCATGTGCATTGAGTTTTTGCATAGCGTGAGATGGACACGAGGAACATCAAAGAGTGATCTGTGCCTTGTGTTATGGTCATGTGTTCTGTTGAGGTTGGCAGGGAGATGTTTGAGGGGAGGGTTAATATCAGAGTTAAGTGTTCTATGTATGTAATAGGTGCAATAATAAGTATGGATGTTTTGTATGGTGAGTAGGTTGAGTGTTTTGAATATTGGTGGAGTGTGTTGCCTGTAGTGAGAATTTGTTATCATTCTAACTGCAGCCTTTTGTTGGGTAATTAGTGGTCTGAGATGGTTAATTGTTGTTGAGCCCCATGCACAAATTCCATAGGTGAGATAGGGGAAAATAAGAGAGTGATAAAGGGCGAGGGAGGGAGGGAGCCTTCACCAAATTCAACTTCAATAATAAGAACATAAAGTGGGACCAAGTAAACCAAGTCCTAACCGATATAAGCTGGGAAGACAGACTAAGCAACACAGACCCCAACTTATGCCTAGGACAGATTAACTCAGTGGCACTCAATGTATGCACAAGGCTTATTCCTTTAAGAAAAAGGAGGAGTAGATGTAAAATAGAAAGAGACAGGCGCTCCCTTTACAGGCAATGAAAAAGAATAACAGAGCGGCTAAAAGAGGCCAATATATCTGAAATGCATAGGGAGTCACTGGTCAGAGAAATAGCAAACATCGAACTTAAGCTAAAGGAATCTCATAGGAGTCAGGAATCGCGGGAAGAACTAAAAGCCATAAATGAAATCGAAAGAAACCCAAAGTATTTATTTTCCTATGCCAAATCAGAGTCGAGAACAACGTCCAGTATTGGGCCCCTACTTAAACAAGATGGGTCCTACACAGATGACAGCAAGGAAATGAGTGAGCTACTCAAGTCCCAATATGACTCAGTTTTTAGCAAGCCGCTAACCAGACTGAGAGTCGAAGATCAAAATGAATTTTTTACGAGAGAGCCACAGAATTTGGCTAACACAAGCCTACCTGATGTTATCCTGATGCCAAATGACTTTGAACAGGCAATAAATGACATGCCCATGCACTCTGCCCCAGGGCCAGACTCATGGAACTCCGTGTTCATCTAGAACTGCAAGAAGCCCTTATCACGAGCTTTTACCATCCTATGGAGAGGGAGCATGGACACGGGGGTCGTCCCACAGCTACTAAAAACAACAGACATAGCCCCACTCCACAAAGGGGGCAGTAAAGCAATAGCAAAGAACTAAAGACAGATAGCACTAACATCCCATATCATAAAAATCTTTGAAAGGGTCCTAAGAAGCAAGATCGCCACCCATCTAGAAACACATCAATTACACAACCCAGGGCAACACGGGTTTAGAGCAGGTCGCTCCTGTCTGTCTCGACTATTGGATCACTACAACAAGGTCCTAGAAGCACTAGAAGACGAAAAGAATGCAGATGTAATATATACAGACTTTGCAAAAGCCTTCGACAAGTGTGACCATGTCGTAATAGCGCACAGAATGCATGCTAAAGGAATAACAGGAAAAGTTGGTGGATGGATCTATAATTTCCTTACAAACAGAACACAAAGAGTAGTAGTCAACAGAGTAAAGTCCGAGGCGGCTACGGTGAAAAGCTCTGTTCCACAAGGCACAGTACTCGTTCCCATCTTGTTTCTCATCCTCATATCTGACATAGACAAGGATGTCAGCCACAGCACCATGTCTTCCTTTGCAGATGACACCCGAATCTGCATGACAGTGTCTTCCATTGCAGACACTGCAAGGCTCCAGGCGGACATCAACCAAATCTTTCAATGGGCTGCAGAAAACAATATGAAGTTCAATGATGAGAAATTTCAATTACTCCGATATGGTAGACACGAGGAAATCAAAACTTCAGAGTACAAAACAAATTGCGGCCACAAGATAGAGCGAAAAACAAACGTCAAAGACCTGGGAGTGATCATGTCGGAGGATCTCACCTTTAAGGACCATAACATTATATCAATTGCAGCTGCTAGAAAAATGACAGGATGGATGATGAGAACCTTCAAAACTAGGGATGCCAAGCCCATGATGACACTCTTCAGGTAGCTTGCTCTATCTAGGCTGGAATATTGCTGCACACTAACAACATCTTTCAAGGCAGGTGAAATTTCTGACCTAGAATATGTACAGAGAACCTTCACGGCGTGCATAACGGAGATAAAACACCTCAATTACTGGGAGCCCTTGAAGTTCCTGAACCTGTATTCCCTGGAACACAGGCTGGAGAGATACATGATTATATACACCTGGAAAATCCTAGAGGGACTAGTACTGAACTTGCGCATGAAAATCACTCACAACGAAAGCAAAAGACTTGGCAGACAATGCAACATCCCCCCAATGAAAAGCAGGGGTGTCACTAGCACGTTAAGAGACAATACAATAAGTGTCAGGGGCCCAAGACTGTTCAACTGCCTCCCAGCATACATAAGGGGGATTACCAATAGACCCCTGGCAGTCTTCAAGCAGGTACTGGACAGGTACCTAAAGTCAGTACCTGACCAGCTGGGCTGTAGTTCATATGTTGGATTGCGTGCAGCCAGCAGTAACAGCCTGGTTGATCGGGCTCTGATCCACCAGGAGGCCTGGTCACAGACCGGGCCGCGGGGGCGATGTACCCCGAAACTCTCTCCAGGTAAACTCCAGGTAAGATCTCATCGTCTCTCATTCCCCAGTCACTTTTATCACCCTTACGTGTTTAACGCTTCCCAGTAAAAGTACGTGGACAATAATAATAATTGCCTTGTGGAGGAGAGTATTGTATTATTATTATTATTATTATAAATCGGTGCAAAAAATCCTAATGACACTGATCTTCCTGGTTTGTATTGGCTTTGTTTTAAGTTTTATTGGGTAACAGTACAGTGGAACCTCAAAAATCAAACGTATCACATATCGAATGTTTCAAAAATAAGACCATTTTTTCGGACAAACTGTGTCCCTATTATCGAATGCGCCCCTATTTTCGGACCGCCAGGTACGGGACGTGTCCGCTGGCCCGCTCTGTCTGTGTCCCTGCGCAGGCGCCGTGAGCAGTCTAGCTTTGTTTATGCCTGAGTGAACACTAACCTGCGATCTCATTCACACATTTTATGATTATTTAATTGTGTTTAGCGCTTGTGGGACTGTGAAATAAGCTGCCATGGGCCCAAAGAAACTTGCTAGCGGTACCCCTGTGGTAAAGAAAGTGAGAAACACCATAGATGAGAAGAAGGAAATAATACAGAAGTATGAGATTGGAGTGAGACTTGTTGAGCTTGCCAGGATGTACAGAGGACTGTGGACAGTTATTTTGTGAGACAGAAACAGACGACTGTGGACTGTTATTTTGTGAGACAGAAACAGATGACTGTGGAGTTATTTTGTGAGACAGAAACAGATGACTGTGGACAGTTATTTTGTGAGAGAGAAACAGACGACTGTGGACAGTTATTTTGTGAGACAGAAACAGACGACTGTGGAGTCATTTTGCGAGACAGAAACAGGCAACTGTGGAGTTATTTTGTGAGACAAACAGACGATTGTGGACAGTTATTTTGTGAGAGAGAAACAGATGACTGTGGAGTTATTTTGTGAGACAAACAGACGATTGTGGACAGTTATTTTGTGAGACAGAAACAGACAGCTGTGGACAGTTATTTTGTGAGACAGAAACAGACAACTGTGGACAGTTATTTTGTGAGACAGAAACAGACGACTGTGGAGTCAATTTGCGAGACAGAAACAGGCAACTGTGGAGTTATTTTGTGAGACAAACAGACGATTGTGGACAGTTATTTTGTGAGACAGAAACAGACGACTGTGGAGTTATTTTGTGAGACAGAAACAGACGACTGTGGACAGTTATTTTGTGAGACAGAAATAGACGACTGGAGTTATTTTGTGAGACACAGACGATTGTGGACACTTATTTTGTGAGACAGAAACAGAGGACTGTAGACAGTTATTTTGTGAGACTGGGGTCCAATGACTCTCAAGCTGGTCCTAGTGGCATTAAAATACAGAGAAGGGAAGCAACCCCAGAGAGGGCTTTGATACCGGAAGTCCTCATGGAGGGGGATTCTCCTTCCAAACATTAACCCCAACTCCCTCTCTCCTCCTCCCTATCTTCCAGATGCCATCACCAATCTTCAATAAAGGTAAGTAAAAATGTTATTTTATATTACTTTACATAATTAAAGATTATAGCATTTGTTGTGTGTATGTAAAACTGTAATTAATCTCTTTAAAATGTTTTTTTTTTTTGTGAATATTTTTGGGTTTCTGGAACGGATTAATTGTATTTCCATTATTTCTTATGGGAAATATTGCTTCGAATTTCAGACTTTTCGAATTTAGAACTAGCTCCTGGAATGGATTAAGTTTGAAATTTGAGGTTCCACTGTAGATGAATGCTCCTCAGCAGATTTCGGCTATTAATTATAATTTTAAACTGTATGATGTTAAGTTGTTTTTACAGTTGAGATTAGTTTGTTGTGCAAATGGTAAAAAATGTAACCTATCAAAACTTAACCAGCCTAAAATAATCTAATCTTACTCTGCCAATGGCAGATATGTCTCTTTGTTTGCACTTAGCCAGGAGCATAACAACTCAATAATAATCTGTGATTAGCTCAAACGTGCTGCTTTGCAAAACCAAAATAAATGTAAACTTTTTGCTAATAGCTCCCAAAATAACAGTTTGCAAAAGAAACACTGTACTTATTGTCATGTACTTAGTTTGTATATTGTAAAATGTAAACCAGTGTCTGAGTTCCACCAAATATTAGCCTTTTATTGTGTAATTTTATTGGCTTTGAACCACACACAATACTGAATCTTATCCTGCAGTAGTTATTAACATGATTGCTGGAGACTTTGTGGCCTGTTTGCATTTGCTGAGGTGTAGAATACACCTTACTTTCTTTTACAATATGTAAAGTAAGATTATGTAGTTACCCTGAAAACCTTACCTAGTTGTGCATAAACTGTTTTATTGCTTATTTTTTGCTCAAGACAACTGCAGTTTTATAATTGTTGTGCAAGCATGCCTCTGGCAAGACATTGATGGAGTGAGTGATGGTGAAAGTTTTTCTTTTTTGGGCCACCCTACCTTGGTGGGAAACATCCGATGTGTTAATAAAAAAATAAAAAATAACTGAGTCTACATATTTCTGTTGCCCAATAAAGTTGCTAACATATCACTTTTATCTATAATAATTTTTCTAAATTTTTTTATAAGAAAATTGTGAAATATTCAAATTATTTAATTAATGGATATAGCAGAAATACAGTGAAAATGTATCTTTTAATAGATTATAGTGATGTTCACTTTGTATTTTTAAGTGTGCATGATTAATAGTTTTTTCATTGAAGGGGTTTGGCAGAGGATGGCAGCTGTAAGCAGGATGTTGTGCCACTCTGCTCCTTGGCAGAGCTCAAGCTGCGGTTCTTGTGCCCCAGTGATTTACCAGAGGTAAGCATCTCTTTGTGTACAGTAAATGTAAAGTATGCAGATACTTTGCACTTTATAAGTTTTATTAATACAGCCTCTCCTCATTTAGCGACATACTTGTTTAACGATGACTCAGACTTGCAACGGGCTCTCTGACCAGTATGCATACCTAAATAATGTATATTAGAGTTGATTTCCTCTATTCTGTTTATTACTACTGTACAGCCTCTCCTCACCTAGCGATGTACTCGTATACCGACCACTCAGACTTACGGCCACCTCTCCAACCGGTATGCAAACCTAAATAATGTATATTACAGCTGATTTCTCTATTCTGTTTATTACGGTATAATGTAAACTACCCTATAAACATTTAAAAATACTATACCAGAAATGTTATAAATGGTGCAAAGATGACATTAAAAAAATCTAAAGATGGTTGACACAAACCCACTACCAGTATAGTATGCTTCTTGCTTAGTGACGAATTTGCTTACCAACCTACTCTTAGGAACGGAACCCCTTTGATATACCTTTGAAGAATTTCGAGAGTGTATCTACTCTCTGAGCCCGGCCATGGGCCAGGCTTGTCTAGTGCTCGCCTGGTCAACCAGGCTGTTGCTGCTGGAGGCCCACTGCCCCACATATCCATCACAGCCTGGTTGATCTGGCACCTGGTGAAGATACTTGTCAAGTTTCCTCTTGAAGGCTTCAACACTTGTTCCAGCAGTGTTTCTGATATCTTCTGGTAAGATGATAAAAGTCTGGGACCCCGGATGTTGATACAGTGTTCCCTTATTGTCCCCACCGCACCCCTGCTCCTCACTGGGTTTATTTTACACTTCCTCCCATATCTCTCACTCCAGTATGTTGTTATGGCAGTGTGCAGATTTGGGACCAAGCCCTCGAGTACCTTCCAGGTATATATTATCATGTACCTCTCTCTCCTCTGCTCCAATGAGGACATGTTCAAGACTTGCAGGCGTTCCCAGTAGTTTAGGTGCTTTACTGGCTCAATGTGAGCCGTAAATGATCTCTGTATTTGTTCCAGCTCCGATATTTCTCCTGCCCTGAACGAGGCCGTCAGCACTGAGCAATATTCTAAGTGAGGGAGCATTAGCAATTTGAAGAGTGTCACCATCGGCATTGTTTCCCTTGTTTTGAAAGTTCTAAATACCCACCCAGTCATCTTCCTGGCTGCCATGATCTTTGTCTTGTTATGGTCTTTATAAGAAAGGTCCGCTGACATAATTATTCCTAGGTCTTTTATGTGTTCCTTACGTTCTATTTGGTGACCCTCTTGAGTTTTGTATATAGTGCTCCTTTTGAGTTCCTCATTCTTTCCATACCTAAGCAGCTGGAACTTATCACCATTGAACGTCATGTTGTTTGCCACTGCCCACTGGAAAACCCTGTTTGTCTTCCTGTACTTTGTCAGTGTCCTTTACCGTTAACCCTTTCAGGGTCCAAGGCCTAAATCTGGAGTCACGCACCAGTGTCCAAGATATTTCAAAAAAAAAATTTGTTATTTTTTCTTATGAAATCGTAGAGAATCTTTTTGTGAAGGTAATAAAACAAAAAGTACGAAAATTGGTGGAAAATTGACGAAATTATGCTCTCACGAATTTTGATGTGTCAGCGATATTTACGAATCGGCGATTTTGCCGACTTTGACTCCCATTTTAGGTCAATTACATTATTCCAATCAACCAAATTCTTAGCTATTTCACTAGTATTACTTCTATTCTATCGATTGAGCACAAGAAATCGCCAAGTCAACTGTTTCAACTACAAAATAAAGTGATCGGAAATTGTTAATTTGGCCAATTTAACACAAAGTTCAAAATATTCCAATTTCAAAATAGGGTCCAGAATGAACAATGTAGGCATTCCTGGCACTAAACTAACATTTCCTCTGTTCATTAGTTATGTTTTGAGGCTTTACAAATAAATTCCATTTTGATTTTTTATTCACATAATGAATTTTTATTCACACCAAAAAATAGAAGATTTACTGTTATGCAATACTGTAATAATTGTATAAATATCATCACCATATTTGTGAATGTATATTAGACCCACCAGCTGATGTGTATTAGACGTGTGAGGTCGTTTGTTTACTCTTGAATATCGGCAAAAATTTAACATTTCCGCTAATTTGAGCTCAGTTTCAAGCCATTTCCAATGCTAAAACCAATCAAAATCATCTCTATTTCTGTAATATGTCTTCCATTCTATCAAATGAGACCAAGAAATCGCAAATACAACTATAAAAAACATACGAAAAAACACTGCAAAGTTGCTGTTTTAATCGAAAAATCATGATTTCATTTTTTTTCTCTCATTATGCACAGTGTGCTGCAGGATCTGTTTTATGTGGTGCACACATACCACATAGATGTATTCTCTCATATCTAGGCCCAAATGTACCACTCACAGTTTATCAGAGTGAGCTGAGCTCATGGCGTAGATCTACGGTTTGGACCCTGAACGTAAAGCCGTAGATCTACGGGACGGACCCTGAAAGGGTTAAGTGAGGATAGGCTGTATGAACATTTAAAAATATACCAGAAATGTTATAGACAGTGCAAAGGTGACCTTAAAACAATATCAAAGATGGCTGACACAAACCCACTACCATTGTAGTATGCTCCTCACTTAGCGACGAATTTGTTTACCGACGTGGTCTTAGGAACGGAAATCCGTCATTAAGTGAGGAGAGGCTGTACTGACATAACTTATTTTAATTTATTTACTAGTAAGTGTTTCACAGTTTTGCAGGAGAACAGAGTTCTGTTTTGGTGTTATAGAAGTAAAGCAGGTAGACATGTCATAATAATGCTGATTTTATGCTATAATGCTGCCTAAGGTGGAGAGATGTTTGAGAATTTGTTTACAGTGTGCAATACATGAATGCTCCATGAGTATTTCTTGGTTTATCAGGGTTTGGCATTATTTTGTGAATAATAATTTGGTAAACCCCTGATTTAACCCATTGACTGTTGGTGTCGTATATATACATCTTATGAGCCAGTGTTTTTGACATATTATTACACCAAAATTCTAGTGGCTTCAAATCAAGCGGGAGAAAGTTGGTAGGCCCATGTGTGAGAGAATGGGCCTTTGTGGTCAGTGTGTGCAGTATAAAAAAAAATCCTAAAGCACGCAGTGCATAATGAGATAAAAAATCTCTGACTGTGTTTTTGGATTAAAATGCCGACTTTGAAGTGTATTTTCATATAGTATTTATGGTTGTATTCTCATTTTCTTGATCTCATTTGATAGAATGGAAAATGTATTACAGAAATCGAGATGATTTTGATTGGTTTCATGATGAAAAGAACCTTGGAATTGAGCTCAAATTAGCAGAAATGTTAGATTTTTGCAGATGTTCAATAATAAACAAATGACGTCACCGTCCAATACATGTCCAACTGGCCAGTCTAATATGCAGTCATGAATGGGTTGACAGTATTTATACAATTATTACAATAATGCAATAGTCTACATAGCAGTAAATCTTCTATTTTTTGTGTGAATAAAAATTCAAAATAAAAAGCAAGAGTAATATAAGAAGGGCTTGGGGACGTGACTAATGCACAGAGAAAATGTTATTTTAGTGCCAGGAATGTCTGCATTGTTTGGACTCTATTTTGAAATTGGCATCTTTTTTAATATGCGTGAAATTAGCAAAATTGCCAATTTCTGACCACTTTATAGGGTACCTAAGTTTAAACCGGTAAATGGGCAGTTTCTTGTACTCAGTCAATAGAACAAATGGGGTTCTGAAGAAATAGCTATGAGTTTGGTCGACTGGAACAAAAGGAATTGGCCGAAAATAGGGCTCAAAGTAGGCGAAATCGCTGATGCATTTACGTATATCGCCGAGATCACTAACTTCGCGAGAGTGTAATTGTGTAAGTTTTCCATCAATTTTCATACTTTTGGTGTCATTACCATAGGAAAAAGATTATCCTTTCATAAGAAAAAATAATTTTTTTCAAATATTTTGCAACACAGAGAGAGACTTCAGTATTTGGGGTCTCAACAGTCAAAGGGTTAATGGACTTTGGAAATACACAACAAAATCTACTGGGTCCTTTTATTTAAAAACAACTGAGTCTGTTGGGTACAGAATTGTCCATTATTAGTTTCATAGTTTATTGGCTGTTTCTTGATGTCACTTAATAGAGAGGAAGACATAGTAAAAATGATACAATTTTGGTCAGTTTCAGACCAACCAAAATCATCTCAAAGAGTATCATCAAAGTAGCAGAGATATTCAATTTTTGATGACTTTCCTGAGGAAGGATAGGGCTCTTGGTCCTGCTCACCCTTTCTTTCCTTGGATTGAACCTGAATGCATCCTGTTTCCCCAGCTGCTGCTGAGTAATCCTACATGTTTAGTGCTCCCCATCAAGATTCTGAAACAAGATAAGCACCAAATCCATATTTTCTCTAGTGGATTGCATGTTTTCTTGTATGTAGCATAAAGATCAAGGCCCCAACTAATTCATTTATTTATTTATTTATTTAGTAATTTAAGCATACATACAGAGGTACAAAAAATACAGGTAAGAGCAGCATGCCAAAGCCACTTATATGCATAGCATTACGGGCTGGCTTAAAATTAACTTAAGATTAAGATTGTTTTCATACCCCAAATAATTCATTGTTTTCACAAACTATTGTAACTAAAAGATGAAAAAATTATTACTGCACCAAATTTTTGCTGGAGTTAGGTTGAAGTGTATTCAATTACAGTAGGGCCCAGCTTTACGGCATTCCGCTAATATGGTGATTTCAAATTATGACCAAAATTTGCTATACGACAAGAGGTCTTTCAAATCCGGTGCGCCCCACCCAGTTTGTTTACATTCTCCATGATCACATCTATTATGTCTGTAAAATTTCCAAAATTTCAAGTATTTTAACCCTTTCACTGTTGCAACCCCCAATCCTGAGGTGTCTCCTGGTGTCGCAAAATTTAAAAAAAAAAAAATTATTTTTTCTTATGAAATGATAGAGAATCTTTTCCCGATTGTAATGACGCCAAAAAAACGAAATTTGATGGAAAACTGACGGAATTATGCTCTCGCGAAGTTAGCGACCTCGGCGCTGTTTACAAATCGGCGATTTCGCCCACTTTGAGCCCTATTTTCTGCTAATTCCATTGTTCCAGTCGCCCAAACTCATAGCTATTTCTTTAGAACTACATTTTTTCTATCGATTGAGTACAAGAAACTGCCCATTTACCAATTTCAACTACCTAATAATGTGGTCAGAAATTTGCAATTTGGCCAATTTCACGAAAACAAAAAAATATGACAATTTCAAAATAAGGTCCAGAATGAACAATGCAGACATTTCTGGCTCTAAAATAACATTTTCTTTGTTCATCAGTCACATCTCCAGGCCCCTCTGATATTACTCTTGCTTTCTATTTTTAATTTTTATTCAAACGAAAAATAGAAGACTTACTATCATGCAGACTACTGCAATACTGTAATAATTGTATAAATAACATCAACCCATTCATGACTGCATATTAGAATGGCTAGTTGGACATTTGTTGGACAATGGCATCATTTGTTTACTTTTGAACATTGGCAAAAATCAAACATTTCCCCCTACTTTGAGCTCTATTTCTAGGTTCTTTTTATAATAAAATAAATCAAAATCACCTCTATTTCTATAATATGTTTTCCATTCTATCAAATGAGACCAAGAAAACGAGAATACAACCATAAATACTATACGAAAATAGACCACAAAGTCGGCATTTTAATTAAAAAAAACGGTCGGAGTTTTTTTTTCCTCATTATGCACTGCGTGCTCCACGATTTTTTTTACATGGTGCACACTGACCACACAGACCCATTCTCTCACATGTGGGCCTACCAGCTTTCTCCTGCTTGATTTGAAGCCGCTAGAATTTGAGTATATATACGTCAAACACGGTACCTCGTAAGACGTATATATACGGCCGCGACAGTCAAAGGGTTAAAGTTTTTGCATATTTTATATGTACTCTGATAATTATGCTTATGTTTACCTGTACCTAAATATACTTACACACTGTGCTGGCATGCAGGTACACATTAAGAGTCTCTCTACTCATGATGCCATAGTAATACTATGTAATAATAATCTCTCTTGGGCAAATTAAATGTCTTAATGTCATTAATCCACCTAAGATATTTTCTTCAAAATTATATAAGAAACACGTTACATAGCATATAAACATTATACATACACCCACAGAATAAAAATTGACATTAATATGAGACTTGTTTACAAAGTGGCTTCGTAGGAGTGCCAGAAGAATTACGTTTTCTCTAGTCAAACACTGGGGGATACTAACTGTAGATAAATATTCCTTTCGTATCCCTTTGCTCTATATATAGCAATTCACAACCCTTGTGGGTTTAGTGCTTCTTTATTATGATTATAATAATTTGTAATAATAATAACTTGTAATAATAATAATTTGTAATAATAATAATAATTTGCCAGTATCATTCCTTCTAAAAATTACATGAGAATGGAAGTGTTGGTCTTTATTTACTACTGTACCACTGTGGAGACAACTGGTACACAACGAACCATGCACGATGCATCTGGTTATGAACCATAACCAGATGCATCGTCTGTTTGTTTACATAGTGGGTGGGGTGGCCAGACTGGCTTCCCTACGCTACCCTACCTACCACACCACTTTCTACAAATAATTGCTTTTCACCTTTCACCCTACATTACGACTACAAGTATTTTAAGGTAAGTAATGAGTGTGCTGTATATGCATTTTATCACTATGGAGCTTTAAGCATCATCGTAGTATATTATGTGTGGGTGGGGTGGCCAGGAGGGCTACCACACCTAACTTCTTACAGTAAATACTACTCACCTTTTAACCTACATTAAGACTACGAATATTTTGAGGTAAATAGTGAGTGTACTGTGTGTGTATTTTACTTTTTATTGTTTTTAATGCCTAGTTCTATTGCTAACTTAATATATGTTAGTGTAAACTTGTTATGTGGCATTTATATGCATTTATAAGTGGAAAAAAAGGGCGTTCTGCTTTCTGGCGATGTCTGCTTTCCGGCAGTAGCCTGGAACTTAACCTGCCGTATAAGTGGGCCCCTACTACTATATGAAAATTTGAACCTAAACATCTTTGTAGTACTATATATACAGTATATATATTTGCTTGCAGGTTAAAACATTGTGTCGAGAGTGGTTCCCTATTGAATACCCTGATGTATGGTATGAAGACATCACAACTAATCCACGATTCTATGCACTTGCTGCAACATTCCATTCACAAATCATCGGCCTGCTGGTGGCAGAGACAAAGCCTTTATCGAAGATGAATAAGGAGGTTTGTAATACTTCAGAAATCATGTTTGTATTTCAAGTAAGCAAGTCATGCCTGCTCTGCAGATACAAAACATCATGAGAAATTGTTACTGTATGTTAATGAATGTGTTTTGTATTTTTATATTGCATTACCAGTTATTGTTTTTTATAATGACAATTCAGTCCTGAAAATTATTCATAAGTCGATTCTTCTGACTCCCATTTCCAAGCTCTAAAATAACGTATTTAATTTCATCAATTTTTTAAATAAAATATTTGTAGGACTTGAGTCCTGGTGGTGGGAAATACAGTGCCTGCACTTTAATGGAGGGATTTGGGATATTGGCTGTTTAGAGTGACATCTAAACTGTCATACCTCAGCACCTCTGCAAAAACTGATTATGTGTGAGTGATGGTGACAGTCTTTCTTTTTTGTGTCACCCTGCTTTGGTGGGAGACGGCTGACGTGTTAAAAAAAAAATTTACTCAATACTATTTTTCACTCGGTATTGTTACTTTTCACTTACATATACAGAGGTATTAACCCTTTCACTGCTGGTGCCATACGGGTACAGCTTACAAGCCAGTGTTGGTGACGTATTAGTATGCCAGAATTCTAGTGGCTTCAGATCAAGTGGAAGAAAGTTGGTAGACCTACATGTGAGAGAATGGGTCTGCATGGTCAGTGTGTGCAGTATAAGAAAAATCAGGGAGCCAGTGGTGCATTCTGGGAGTCCCATTTCAGTAGGCCTTGTTTACCATGCTTTGCAGTAAGAAGTACCCGACTCCCCAGCAAACTGGGACTCTCCTCTCCCCAAGTGATAGTTCTGACACAGATGGAAGTGTCAGTGAAGATGAATTTCATGGTTTTGAGGAGTTTGTGACCAAAAGCAATGCTTAGGATACCAGAAATAGTGCTGAAAACCCAGATGACCATCAACCTAGGATAACCCAAAAAATCAAAGTGACTTACTTCCATATGGGTGGTGGGGAAGATGGCATGCTTACCATACCACGGGCGGGATTTGAACCCGCGGGTATGGGTAATGGGTGGTGGTGGTTGTGTAATGTGTCATGTAACACAAGCTATGCTGCTCTCAGCACATCCACAACAAAGGCTACCTTCAGCACCTACACACAACCTTCCACAAGCTGTAGCAGTTCTAGGAACGTGTCCAGTGACTATGTGTGTGTATATATATTATAGAACAATAGTAATAAACAACTTCTTTTATTGTTGGTTTGTGTAAACATGTTTTGTAAATTTTTTTTTTTTTTTTATTATCACACCGGCCGATTCCCACCAAGGCAGGGTGGCCCGAAAAAGAAAAACTTTCACCATCATTCACTCCATCACTGTCTTGCCAGAAGGGTGCTTTACACTACAGTTTTTAAACTGCAACATTAACACCCCTCCTTCAGAGTGCAGGCACTGTACTTCCCATCTCCAGGACTCAAGTCCGGCCTGCCGGTTTCCCTGAATCCCTTCATAAATGTTACTTTGCTCACACTCCAACAGCACGTCAAGTATTAAAAACCATTTGTCTCCATTCACTCCTATCAAACACGCTCACGCATGCCTGCTGGAAGTCCAAGCCCCTCGCACACAAAACCTCCTTTACCCCCTCCCTCCAACCCTTCCTAGGCCGACCCCTACCCCGCCTTCCTTCCACTACAGACTGATACACTCTTGAAGTCATTCTGTTTCGCTCCATTCTCTCTACATGTCCGAACCACCTCAACAACCCTTCCTCAGCCCTCTGGACAACAGTTTTGGTAATCCCGCACCTCCTCCTAACTTCCAAACTACGAATTCTCTGCATTATATTCACACCACACATTGCCCTCAGACATGACATCTCCACTGCCTCCAGCCTTCTCCTCGCTGCAACATTCATCACCCACGCTTCACACCCATATAAGAGCGTTGGTAAAACTATACTCTCATACATTCCCCTCTTTGCCTCCAAGGACAAAGTTCTTTGTCTCCACAGACTCCTAAGTGCACCACTCACTCTTTTTCCCTCATCAATTCTATGATTCACCTCATCTTTCATAGACCCATCCGCTGACACGTCCACTCCCAAATATCTGAATACGTTCACCTCCTCCATACTCTCTCCTTCCAATCTGATATTCAATCTTTCATCACCTAATCTTTTTGTTATCCTCATAACCTTACTCTTTCCTGTATTCACCTTTAATTTTCTTCTTTTGCACACCCTACCAAATTCATCCACCAATCTCTGCAACTTCTCTTCAGAATCTCCCAAGAGCACAGTGTCATCAGCAAAGAGCAGCTGTGACAACTCCCACTTTGTGTGTGATTCTTTATCTTTTAACTCCACGCCTCTTGCCAAGACCCTCGCATTTACTTCTCTTACAACCCCATCTATAAATATATTAAACAACCACGGTGACATCACACATCCTTGTCTAAGGCCTACTTTTACTGGGAAAAAATTTCCCTCTTTCCTACATACTCTAACTTGAGCCTCACTATCCTCGTAAAAACTCTTCACTGCTTTCAGTAACCTACCTCCTACACCATACACTTGCAACATCTGCCACATTGCCCCCCTATCCACCCTGTCATACGCCTTTTCCAAATCCATAAATGCCACAAAGACCTCTTTAGCCTTATCTAAATACTGTTCACTTATATGTTTCACTGTAAACACCTGGTCCACACACCCCCTACCTTTCCTAAAGCCTCCTTGTTCATCTGCTATCCTATTCTCCGTCTTACTCTTAATTCTTTCAATTATAACTCTACCATACACTTTACCAGGTACACTCAACAGACTTATCCCCCTATAATTTTTGCACTCTCTTTTATCCCCTTTGCCTTTATACAAAGGAACTATACATGCTCTCTGCCAATCCCTAGGTACCTTACCCTCTTCCATACATTTATTAAATAATTGCACCAACCACTCCAAAACTATATCCCCACCTGCTTTTAACATTTCTATCTTTATCCCATCAATCCCCGGCTGCCTTACCCCCTTTCATTTTACCTACTGCCTCACGAACTTCCCCCACACTCACAACTGGCTCTTCCTCACTCCTACAAGATGTTATTCCTCCTTGCCCTATACACGAAATCACAGCTTCCCTATCTTCATCAACATTTAACAATTCCTCAAAATATTCCTTCCATCTTCCCAATACCTCTAACTCTCCATTTAATAACTCTCCTCTCCTATTTTTAACTGACAAATCCATTTGTTCTCTAGGCTTTCTTAACTTGTTAATCTCACTCCAAAACTTTTTCTTATTTTCAACAAAATTTGTTGATAACATCTCACCCACTCTCTCATTTGCTCTCTTTTTACATTGCTTCACCACTCTCTTAACTTCTCTCTTTTTCTCCATATACTCTTCCCTCCTTGCATCACTTCTACTTTGTAAAAACTTCTCATATGCTAACTTTTTCTCCCTTACTACTCTCTTTACATCATCATTCCACCAATCGCTCCTCTTCCCTCCTGCACCCACTTTCCTGTAACCACAAACTTCTGCTGAACACTCTAACACTACATTTTTAAACCTACCCCATACCTCTTCGACCCCATTGCCTATGCTCTCATTAGCCCATCTATCCTCCAATAGCTGTTTATATCTTACCCTAACTGCCTCTTCTTTTAGTTTATAAACCTTCACCTCTCTCTTCCCTGATGCTTCTATTCTCCTTGTATCCCATCTACCTTTTACTCTCAGTGTAGCTACAACTAGAAAGTGATCTGATATATCTGTGGCCCCTCTATAAACATGTACATCCTGAAGTCTACTCAACAGTCTTTTATCTACCAATACATAATCCAACAAACTACTGTCATTTCGCCCTACATCATATCGTGTATACTTATTTATCCTCTTTTTCTTAAAATATGTATTACCTATAACTAAAACCCCTTTCTATACAAAGTTCAATCAAAGGGCTCCCATTATCATTTACACCTGGCACCCCAAACTTACCTACCACACCCTCTCTAAAAGTTTCTCCTACTTTAGCATTCAAGTCCCCTACCACAATTACTCTCTCACTTGGTTCAAAGGCTCCTATACATTCACTTAACATCTCCCAAAATCTCTCTCTCTCCTCTGCATTCCTCTCTTCTCCAGGTGCATACACGCTTATTATGACCCACTTCTCGCATCCAACCTTTACTTTAATCCACATAATTCTTGAATTTACACATTCATATTCTCTTTTCTCCTTCCATAACTGATCATTTAACATTACTGCTACCCCTTCCTTTGCTCTAACTCTCTCAGATACTCCAGATTTAATCCCATTTATTTCCCCCCACTGAAACTCTCCTACCCCCTTCAGCTTTGTTTCGCTTAGGGCCAGGACATCCAACTTCTTTTCATTCATAACATCAGCAATCATCTGTTTCTTGTCATCCGCACTACATCCACGCACATTTAAGCAACCCAGTTTTATAAAGTTTTTCTTCTTCTCTTTTTTAGTAATTGTATACAGGAGAAGGGGTTACTAGCCCATTGCTCCCGGCATTTTAGTCGCCTCATACGACACGCATGGCTTACGGAGGAAAGATTCTTTTCCACTTCCCCATGGACAATAGAAGAAATAAAAAAGAACAAGAGCTATTTAGAAAAAGGAGAAAACCTAGATGTATGTATATATATATATGCATGTGCGTGTCTGTGAAGTGTGACCAAAGTGTAAGTAGGAGTAGCAAGATATCCCTGTTATCTTAGCGTGTTTATGAGACAGAAAAAGAAACCAGCAATCCTACCATCATGCAAAACAGTTACAGGTTTTTGTTTCACAGTCATCTGGCAGGACGGTAGTACTTCCCTGGGTGGTTGCTGTCTACCAACCTACTAATATTTGTGCAATTACAGTGGACCCCCGGTTAACGAACTTTTTTCATTCCAGTAGTATGTTCAGGTGCCAGTACTGACCGAATTTTTTCCCATAAGGAATATTGTGAAGTAGATTAGTCCATTTCAGACCCCCAAACATACACATACAAACGCACTTACATA